GCTGGTTGATGCAGCTGAGAGCATTTGTTTTTCCTCCTGTTGACAACCAGAGCCAAGCTTCTCCCCGTGGTCTGCAGGGAGTGCTGGAAGCGTGTGTGGGAATGCTGCTTTATTAACCGAGTAACTTGGGGAAGTGGACATTGACAGCCCCTGGGTTTGAGAAGCTCCAGCTCTCAGGCACCGTTGAAGCAAACCCTCGCTCTGCAGGGTGCTCGTCCGAAGCCAGAGCTGGCGATGGGCTAGTTGGTGTGGGCGTGCAGGGGAGCTTGGTCCACGTGCTTGCACTGAGCAGCCGCTGTTCTGTACAAGGCTGACTCGGTGTGGAGCGAGCTGGGTGTTGGGGAAGCGTCACTGGAGGGAGCGCTGCAGGATGATGTGACGCTCCTTCTGCGCTCCTGCAGAGCTGGGAAGCTCCCAGGCATGCCACAAGGTGCAGGACGAGGACGCGTGCCTACCCCAGTGTGCGGACACGCGTGGCCTCCTCGCCTTCCTTCTCTGCCTCGCCTCATCCCTGATCCGTGCAGTAGGAAAGACCTCGGGCAGCTGATGGGGAAGGGCAGGGGATGATGGGGCGCTGCGAGGAGTGGTGCTCTATACGGGCAGTTCGGTGTCGGGGTGGGATGCCTTCCTGAACAAGGGGCGCTTTTGTTCCCATAGGAGTTCGTTAGCGGGAGGGTTTGTGTGTCCGGGTCCAGCCTGGGATGGCAGATGGGCGCAATGCCTGTGACCTTGGCTCTGGAGGGGGCTGCAGGGGGAACTGGCCCCTCCAAGATCTGGGTCTTGGTAACTTTTCCAGGCGACTGTGAAGGGATCCTGTGGCTGTCTTCGGTTCAAGGCTGCTCCTGCCTTAGCCTCTGTTCCTTTGGTCACATAGTCCGTAAGCACTCGCTTTTGCCCTCCTGGGTGCTGGAATAAGAGTGGGTTCATCCGTACCTCCGTGAGCGCTTACAGGGGGGTATCTCAACCCTGAGACACTGCAGGTAGAGTGCCCTATCGTTACAGCGGGCTCTTCCGCAGTGGGGCAGCTGACCGGTCTGGCGGGGTCAGGCACCGGAGCCACGTGGGACCTCCCGGCACGGTCGTCTGCCTTCTTCCTGTCGCGGGTGAGATGCTGTGTGCAGCAGCATGAGCAGTGGTCATGTCCTCTCCCGCGGAGCAGGAGGTACTGGAGGAGGACAGCAGAGAGGGTGGAAAGTGCAGAACATCTTCCGCACAAGGAGCGATCCAACAGCTGGGATTCCACACTCTGGAAGAGAGGGCTCGCAGTGAAAGATGGGTCGGTGCTGGTCCGGCTGGCTAGGGATGTTAGCTCCCTGCCTCCGGTACCACCGGGGCTGGGGGCCTCTGGTGAAGCCAAGCCTGAACCGTGAGACAGTGGTGTTTCAAGGTATGGGTGTTTACACTGCTGAAACTCCTTGCTAAAGAACTAAGTGGAAGTGAAATTCTATGTGGTTTCGAGAGGAGACAGAACAATTACTCAAAGGAGAGGTTTTTGATGCTGACTAAACAGACAAACCACAGGACATCCCTGAGCTGGAGAGGTCAGCAGCCGCAAACACAGGAAGGGTCACTGTCATGTACTTTGGCCGTGTTCCTACTCTTCCTGCCTTCCCCCGTGCCAAAGGGTGCTGGAGATGGCGTCCTGGGCTGGGCAGGCCCTTGGTCCGAATCCAGATGGCCATTCTCAGGCAACGATGTTGGGCAGCCTCCTGCTGCTGTTGGGGTGAAGCAGCCTCCACTGCCCCCAGGGAGGGGATGTGGCCCCTCGGCAGGGGCAGGAGAGCACCCTGCTGCCCGTGGTGGCAGAGCAGAGTCTGAGTGCCGAGCAGCCGCTCCGTCCAGCTGAGCCGTGAGTGGATTTCCCAGCAGTAGTGGTGTGAGCTGCAGGTGACTGCCCACCTCCCGGTGCCCGGCAGTGCCCGCTGCGAGCCCTGTCCAGCGCTCGGGCGAGCCCTGCGCCCTGCTCCGGAGGAATCATAGGATCCCAGGTTGGAAGGGACCTCAAGGATCACCTGGTCCAACCTCTCTAGGCAAGATCCCAGCCTAGACAAGATGGCCCAGCACCCTGTCCAGCTGAGTCCTGAAAGAGTCCGGTGTAGCGGAGTCAACCCCTCCCCTGGGGAGATTATTCCAACGGGTCACTGTTCTCACGGGGAAAAATTTCCCTCTCATGTCCAGTCGGAATCTTCTCAGGATAGGGACAGCCCTGTCCCCCACCTGCAACCCAAGAGCGGCCGGGGTCTGGAGGTGGTGCGCTGGGCTGCACAGGAAGGGTCTTGCCCCGTCCAGCCCGGTGTCGAAGCCCGACTGCAGCGTGCGAGCTCCTGGGTGACGGCTCTTGCAAGCTGGGGCGCAGCGCGGTTGGAGAGGTCCGTGCGGGTGAGTCTGTGGGCACCAGGCGCATCCTCCCCGCTGCTGCACAGGGCAGGCGTAAGTGGTGAGGGCGAGCGCATTGCTGACGGTGTTTCCATCCCGCTCCTTCGCGCCAGCGGGGCTGTCCCTGGAGCGCGGGGATTTGTGGTGGCAGAGCTCCGGCTGCCCCGTGCAGTGAGGTGCCAGTGCCCTGGCGTGCGCTGCCAAGCAGAGGTGGCGGGGGGGCGGCTGGGGGGAGAGGTGCCCAGGCTATACGCTGGTGTTGTGGGTTAAGCGTGCTAACGAGAATTGTTAATTGCATGTGTTGGATGGCTGGATGTAGTTAAATGGGTATTGTGTCAGTGATTTATTTGTGTTAAGATTTACTCAAAGGCCTTCGCGGCAAGTCCAAAATCAAACTGGTGCTGAGGAATTCCTGAACCGTGGTTAGAAACCCAAAGATCTGTTAGATCAGCAAGGAGGCAACTGGCAAACACCCGGCTGGTTCCTGTACCCTGGGCGTACGAGAACAGAACTGGGCAGAGCGCAGCTTGCCCCCTCCTGGCCTCTCTCCCCTTTCCGAAGGGCAAGCCAGTGGCTGCGTTTGGGTTGTGCTCCGCTTGAGACCCCCCCAAAATCCTGCTCTGTTTCTGCCAGGTTTTACAGTTCAAGAACAAGGTGCCTGCAGTGAGGCAGCGCGGCCGCGCCGCCGCCAACCTGGAGGGAGGGGAGATGGCGATGGCGCTGAGCAGAGCAGGAGTTAGAGGTGGAGGTGGCAGCTTCTGCGGGCCAGGTAACGCCGCTGGAAATAGGGTGTGCTGCTGCCCTTCTGGAAGGGCTCAGGGACTTGCCATTTTCCTCCTAACTTAGTGGTTGTTTTAGTAAAGATTTCAGCTGTGCCTAAGAAAGAAAGGAAAGTTGAAAGACAGAGAGCACGAAGAAACGATTCCTCTTATGAACGTTCATGGTGGTTGTAAATAACTTGTGTTACAGCATCAGACTTGTGTTCTATTTGTCTGTAGCTTCTGAAGAAGAAGTGTTAATAAATTAGTGTATGAGTGGTCAACTCTAGGCATGAGGCGCGTATTGCTACCCACTTCTGATGCGATGGGAAAACACGCTGCGGCCTGCGGGGGCCACGTGCCATGACGAAGGTACAGCGGCGGATCGGGGGACCAGCACGCGGACGGGCAGGCACGAAGGCAGGGGGAGATGAGCCCAGGCATTAGCCGGGAGATGGAGGGGAGGTCGCAGCCGGTGTGGGTCCAACATTCCCGTGGGAGTTACAGGAACACAAACCGGAGTGCGGATGCCACTGACTGGCTCCTGGCGGGGCTGGGGAGCCTGGCGTTGTCCTCTGGTCCTGCCTGGATCCGGTGGCAACTCCTGCGGTGCCCTGGTTTCAGCCCGTGGTGCTTAGCACAGCCCTGCACGAAACACCCGCTTGGCAGAGACCTGCGGGCGCCGGCTTGCCCGTCTGGTTTGGGCAGTGCCGGTGCAGGCTCCGAGAGCTGGTGCTTAGCCGCCGGGGCGGGGACGGGCGGCTCGCAGCAGGGACAGAGCAGGGGGCAGGTCCAGAGCCATTCTCCCCTTTGGTCTGGCGTCCCGCCGTGGCCTCGGGTGATGGCTGAGCGTGGTAGCACCCAGGCCGTCATGTTCAATCCCTGCCTGTGGTTGGGTCTCACAGATTCGCCTCTTCCCTTTTTGAACCCATCTGAGATTTCCCATTCGGCAATAGCCTGTGACGGTGACTGCACGTTGATTACAGGTTCTTGGAGAATCCACGCTCCCACGGGTTTCTGGTCTCAAAAATCCTTCCTTATTTCCACGCTATTAACATCCAGCAAGTGCTGCTCTTCCGTTTCTGAAGCTCCGCCCCGCAGCTGCCTGGCGTTGGGTGGAGGATGCACATCCATGTCCAAGGCAGATGAGGGACTTGGGTTTTGTTAGGAGGGGCTGCTGGATACTTCTGACCAGTCCAGGTGTTTCCCAGGCTCTTGCTCCTCCCCGGTGAGCTGGGTTCTGTTTGGGAAGTCTCTTGTTTGACCAGCTCCTGGGGATTGTTTGGATGTAAATGAAGTGTTTGTGATTTCTGTGGCAGGAGGGGGGGTGTTCCCTGCACTGCTCGAAGCCGTGCCTGACAGTTAGAACTTCTTAAGCCCGTTAGTGTTCTGCAAATTACATAGCATACACATAATTAATTGTGTTCACTCTCAATCACGAGCGTAGATTACAGCACACCTCAGCTCTTTATCTGTACTGCGTGCAATGTGCTGGTACTGCAGCCCGGGTGCGGCGCCCCGGCACTGCCTTGGCCGTTACCTGCCTGCCCCGCTGGGGCCCTGCGCAGCGGCTGCCCCCGAGAAGGCGTCGAGTCTCCGGTACTTCTCTTGTCCCAGCGCCTTGAGGAAGGGGATGCCATGGGGCTTTCTGTGCTCGGCGGTGCGGGAGGGAGGGTCCCAGCCTGCGGCACGTGGGCTCTGCGCTGCCTTCCCACCTCAGCTCCGCCGTTCCTTCCCGTCTGGAGCTCTGGCTGCTGAGCGCGGGCAGCCTCCGAACCTCGTGCAGCTCCATCTCCAGGCGAGGTGGGAGGGAGGGAAGAGCCATGAATCTCCTGCCTGGAGGGAGCAGGGAGAGCATGGCAGGATCCTTGTCAGGGTCTTGAGGGAGACCGTAGTGACCTGATGACTTCTCCTCTCTCTTCTGCAGATTCGTTTGTGAACAGCCAGGAATGGACCCTGAGTCGCTCGGTGCCTGAGCTGAAGGTGGTGAGTATGCATGGCTCGTGCCTGGGATAACCTGGGTTCTCTGATGCTTCTCCAAATCCCCAAGAAAACCTCATGTTTTAGCGTGGCCGAGTGGAAATGCGTAGAGGCTTCAGCCTCACGGAGGAGAGAGGGGACCTGGGGCTGCTGCCATGCTGGGGGAAGGCAAGAGTTTCTCGGTGGCTCATGCTTGTGAGGGAGAGGGTATGGGTCTGGAAGAGCCCTTGGATGAGGAGGTTGAAAGGCGATATTTGAGCACCTCACCCTTCCTGCTGTCCATAGCAGAGCCACAATTCCCAACCAGGTACTGCTGCGTGGTCGAGACCTTGTGGTGTAGCAGCAGCAGGGGCAGATCCTGAGCAGCGGCATGGGCACGCGCCCATGGCCGGCACCCTCAGAGCAGCCGTCCAGTCGGGGGGTGTCACCTCTCCCTTTGAGCCTCGTTGACTTCAGCTCTGCCCTGGTGCTTCCCTGGCCTCTGTTGGCCACTTCCCAGGCATGACTGCCCTGCGGCATCCCTGCCGTGGAGGGAGGCCGGTGGGATGAAACCGTCCCCTCTGGTGCTTTGTTCTGCCGAGCAGAGGGGATGAAGCCCCTCCGGTTAGTCAGCGTGGGGTGGGTTTCCCAGGGCACGCCGTTAGTGGGCTTCGTCACCTGCTTGTGGGATACGGCCTCTGGCAAGGGGGCTGCCTCTGCCCCCGACAGCCCCCTTCGGGTGGGACAGGGCCTCAAGGGAGGGGGCCTGGTCTCGGCGTGCGGCACCTCGGAGGCGGGAGATGTTTCCCATGGCCTGCCA